TATGATTGTCGAAAACAATATAACCATGATCATTCTCATTCATATCGTCTATTAAACAATCCATGAAATTTTTTTGATAAACCCTTATTAAACAATAATGTTTTTAAATTCCTATTATCTCCTACATTATTGAATACAATAATGTATTGACTATTTGTTCTAGCTGTTCTTAATTTTGTATTTCCGTAATTTAAATTTTGACATGTAAATATGATAGAAAAATCCTCATGATGACAGTCTCGTGTAGCAATTTCATCCAATTTTTTTGTATTATCTTTATTATCCGTTGCATTAATCATCAAATCGTCCAGTATTATTAATGTTTGATTTCCTAATTTTTGTTTTATGTCAGTTACAGAGGGTATGTGTAATTTGCATTTGATAAATTCGTAATTTTGCAGGGCTGTATTTTTTTTGTTCATTAATAATAGATTTTATTTCGTCAAACATTTCTTGATAACTAGACGAGTAATAATATAAAAGTTTTGTAAAAGGGGTTCAAAGATTTCATCATTAAATTTTATCAATTCTTTTATAAAATGTGTTTTTCCACATTGTGATGGTCCACAAATAGTCATCATAAAAGGATGTTGAAATTTTACAACTGGTTTATATATCATATTTTCAATCTAAAAATAACCATAAGGAATTGTAAAAATTATCTAATACTATACGTTTATCAAAAGTGAATGCAAACTTTTCACTTCTTCGTTTAAAAATACATTTTGTTGGTTATCACGTGATATTTTTTCTTTATAAATTACTTCAATTATTTTTCATTATCTTTACACACTCATTTATCGAATCAAATGTTATTTTTCTTTTCCCATCACCCTTTAAAGAAAATCCTTTTGCATGCACTATTTCATTATTTTTATCTGTTTTAAAAGAATAACTTTTGGTCCCGTAGAACAAAATGATTTAATATATTCACCATTTTTAATTCGTTAGTAAGGTCACCTAGGTAATTACCCGTTTTAATATCATTTCCATCAACACTAATGTAAATTATTGAATCGGTATCATAATATAAAACTTTGTCTTGCAGCTTATGTAATACATTTAAAAGCTCTAATCTTGCATAACTTGTTACAAAGAAGCAATAACAACATTACGATTGGGTAAAATTGACGAACATGTTTCATTTTTTATGTGTTGTTCTTAAAATATCCGAAGACACGATATTTAAAGAAGTTAATTCGTTAGTATGATTGTTTGCTAAATACAGTAGATCATATAAGTTATTGATAAATGATACTGTAACTACATTATCATTTTGTGCAAACTTTCCCCATAATGAATTTAAAATCATTTTCATAATGGTACGAATACATATATTTTTCTTAATATTACTTCTATCTAATTGAATTCCTTCGTGTTCATAATAATCTAATATAAATTCATTTAATTTTCTTCATTAACAGTTTTTTCATCCTCATTAACAGTTTCATCCTCAGTTTCATTATAACATTCTTTAGGAATACCACTATTTTCTTGTTTTATTTTCATAAAATTGTCTACAAACCCTCCGAAAATTTTACCCCTGTTTTTATAATGATAAATTTCATATATTTTAATTATTCTATAACCACATTCAATAGCTTTATTTATTTCAACACTAGTCCATGTACCCCTTAATGCTCTCTTCTCATCATTATGATTACATTTTCGATTTTTTTCCATAGCACAAGTGTAACATAGTGTAAATATTAATTTATTATCAATGCGTAAGGGTAAAACAGGAAATAAAAGTGTAGTAGGGGGTAATATACAACATTTAATTAACCCAAACACACTTCCGACATCAATATTTAAACATTCTTCCTCTAAATATATTTCAGGATCATTTAAAGGATATTCATACTTTTTTTGAACATATGGATATAATGACGTAAAGTCAACATATTTAACCTTTTCATTTTCCTTCACTTCATAATATAAACATGAAGGTGATGTTCTACCACCATATAATGCATCACGTGGATGCAACGGTAATACATTAAAAAATTCCTCTTTCCTACTTTTTATTTCACTTATATTTTTATCTTTTAAATATTCACATTCCCACATTTCGACTACATTATAATTATTTTCAATTAATTGTTTTGAAAACTGTTTTGTTTGCATTCTTAAAAAATACATTTTTTCTTTTTTCAAAGTATTATAATCATCATTATTAAAACATTTATTACACCCGTGGAAAAAACATCCGTGAAATTGATATACAGTATTGTTTTCTTCACAATACCCATCAACAAATCTACCCAGAATTTTTCTTTCTCCATTAATGGATAGTTTGTATTCTAAAGTGTAACCCATTTCATCTAATTCTGATTTAACTTCACTCAACCAACATAATGCTATTAAACTTTGCATGGTATTACCCCTGTACCCGAATGATGGAATTTGTGCAATTTTATCATCTTGTAAATAATTACTTCTAAATATTTTAATGTTAAACCAGCAATTGTTATGCATGTTGTGTCGTAAAAAGGCAAAATATTTGTAATGTTGTAGATTAAATTTGAAAATTTTATACATCCAAGCCTTAGAATATTAACATCATTACTACAATAATAATAAATTGCATCTCGAAATACGTATTCTTTTTCACATTGTTTGTCATACCATGTGTTAAAATCGTTTTCATCCTCTTCTGATATATCAAAGTATTTTTATCAATCATATTTCCCCTATATGTCAGATCAAAAAATTTGTATGGGTGATATCCTTTTACAATGTTATCAATTTCAAGTGATTTTGGAAAGTCTGCTAATTTCATGGATAAAAATGAATAACTATCAATAATTTGCAGATTAATTTCTTTTATTTTTAAAGATAAAATTTTATTCCCGTTCATAACAGTTTCCGGAATTAAATTTTTTTCTGTCAATAAGTATTTTAATAAAAATATTGTATCAAATCTACCACCATTATGTGCAATCCAAACAGAATTTTTTGTTCTAACATAAACTGAGCTAACGTGATGTTACATCATCATTATTACAATCAAAGACAAATTGACGATAACCACAACAGTCAACGGGGTCAATTGATAAGTCAGTAATATAATCCATATCGGGTAAAAATACTCAAAATTTTTATGAAATGGAATTTTTCACATTTACGACATACTTTTGAACAACACAATAGAATGGTATCATTAAATTATTTTCATCTGTTTTGTTTCAAAATCAAAGAAAAATAACGTTGGTGTAGACTTATACTTATTAAATTCTAAGGGTTTGATACGACATTTGAGTTGTTTGTCCAAATATTTTCTACAATGTGCACAATATGTTTTTTGACAATCATGTAAAACAACCTTTTTTTTAACAAAGAAAAATCTTGGGACAATTTTATTACATGTATTACAAAATAAAATTTTTTGACATGGTGTGACTTTAATACTATTCTTATTTTTAAACAATTTATTAAACAAATGTTTCCGAAACAATCTGATGATTTGAAAATTATATTACATTCGGTGCATTGAATAGAAAAATTTGCTTCTTTTACAGTTTGAATAACATTTTAAACATGTGTCTTCATTTTTACAAATATGAGAATCCGCATACTCGTCAAATTTCAAATAATGCATGCATTTAAAGCAAAATAAATCCAATTTTAAATTGGAAAAAAGTTTAGGATTTAAGATTAAGTCATAGTGGGAATCATTTAACCATAAAAAAATAATTTTATCACTAATGTGAAAGGAATCATGATTACTCACTCTTGAGTCATAAATTATTGTATCTAATTTATCTTTAGAAAAAATCACCAAATGAAAATTATCTTTTTTTAAGTAGTTTTCGTAAACTAAATTTAATTGGTTAATGGCGACACTTCCTTCTGATAATTTAACTTCTTTATAAAATGATTTAACTTCGTCTACAGTAATTTTTTCATCAACTGTTTTACTTAAATTTTTTTTAAAAATTTTTAGTTTCTCATCATTATTAATAAACATTTTTCCAACTAATACAGCCACAGCAAAACAACAATTTTTAACTTGAGTTTGCAATTTGTCACACTTAATTTGCAAAATACCATTTCTAACTTCTCTTTGATGTTTCAATATTGGACGATTTGTTTTACCACCCCCCCTACTATCATCATCAGGATTTAAATTATAAATAAGTTTTTGTTTTGTTTTTCCGAATTGGTCTTTTTTTTCCTAAATGAGATTTTCTCATTTTTATATTGATGTGGGACAATCATAAGACATACATTAGTTTTCCAGTCATTATTTAAAATTCTGAAATATTACTTTGTAAATTATGTTCAAAAGTATCTAATAATCTCTGTATAGTAAATTCCTTTAAGGGTAATAAGGATGTTGAAAAGGTTTTAACGGAGCTTTTTCGAAAAATCTAATTAAATCATTCTCAGAATTTACGGTTAATTTTGCTATATTGAGCAAATATTGTAATATTTTTGAAAATTGTTTCAAAAATCTGGTAAACTGTTGAAATTGTTTTTTTATAAAATTTGATATATGATCCTTAACTTCACCATTTAATGTAAAATGGTATTTTTATATTGTAAATCAATTAATTTTTTTTTTTGATGTATTCAATTTTTCACCAATTTTTGAATGAAATATACTAACTATTTTCTTTATTTCATCATTCGAAATAATTTTCATTTTTCTTCTTTCTTCTTCAATTTCTTCATTTTTCCGTTTTGACATGGTTTGGGTTTTCTTTTTCTTTATTCTTTTTTTTCTTTCTTTCTACATTATCATGATAATCAATTTCATTTTCGAACCTTTTATACACATGCAGTTTAGATTTAATTTTATAAGCGGTGTATCGTTGGATGGTTTACACATAGAATTACCCATTGCTAAAATTAATTAATAAAATGGCTGGAGAAACACTATGTTATATAGAAGTTCATTTATTCTTAAATAAAATGAAAAAAAAAATAAAAATAATAAAAGAGCTAGTACTAAATGTACCTATCAAATACTGGATAATGATAAATGTATTTTATTCTCACCTTTCTTATTTCAACAATTAATTCAAGATTGGAAATCAGATGATAATGATGATAATTCTGTAAGGTATTATGATGTCAATTCATTAAAAAAGAATTTTCTTTTTTTAAAAAAAGAAATATATAATCTCGAGTCAAATCATTCTGATATATGTTTTAAAATTGAGAAATTAATAGAATATATTGAAACAAATATTGAACTTTATGCTGGAATAAGATTAATTTTCTAAAAAATGAAACAAAGTATACGAAAATACAACAATGTGATGGAATTACCTTAAAAAATGTAAGATGTCGAAAAAAAAACTTCAATGACCAATTTATGTTGGATTCACTTGGGAAAAAAATTTAATTTAAGAATTAAAACTTCAAACATTTCAAACGGAGGTAAAGGATTATTTGCATATAAAAAAACAATTCCGAAAAACAAAAAAATTGCAAATTATACTGGAAGACATCTTACCTCAAGTCAAGTAATTAGAAAATATGGTGATGGTTTAGCAGAATATGCAATTTGCGATAAAGGAAAATGTGTTGATGCTAATGAAACAACTGATGGCGCACCGAGATATGCAAATGATGCTCGAGGGTCACGCTTTAAAAACAACTCGTTTTTACTTGGAAAAAAATTTAATTATTTCTTAAAATCATCAAAAAACATTAAACCACACCAAGAAATATTTACTAATTATGGTAAAGAACATTAGAAAAAAAAAGTAAAAAAATAAAATTATTTTGTAAATAAATAATATTTTTTATTGAATAAAAATTTATTTTACATAAATGTTTGTTAATTAATTAATTAAGTACACAAATTGATTTCAACTAAAATATCGACCCCAATATTGGTGCTAACAATGGTAATATTCCTCTTTTGACCTCTTCTTCTTTTACCCTTACATACATCCTCTATATGCACCTTTACCCAATTGATTATTTGCAATTTCAAATGCTTTATCCATTAAGGGTGAATTTACAAATTTTTTTGCTTTAGAACCCAGTATTCCTGATTTTGCTATAGCTCTGGCAGCTTTTGCAGATTTTAGCGCTAAATGTTTTTTACTTAATGCTTTTTTAAATCCAGATTTAAGTGTATTGCGAATTTTAGAAAATTTAATAAATCCTCCTTTTTGTCGTCTCCCTCCTCTTTGACGTCTTCCCATTTTTTTAGTAATTTTAAAAAAATATTATTTCAGAAATTCAAAATGTGATTTTGTAAAAAAAATCTATATATATGTTATAACAATTGTACTACTTCTGCATAAATAAACAGATATTGCTTCCCATGCATATATTTATTGAATTTGCTTACTATTTATTTTACTTATTTATTCTTTTTTTAAAAATAAAAATAAAAAAATGTATAAAGAAAACGAAAAAGAATTAAAAAAAGAAAATATAGAAAAAAAGCACAAAGAGGAGGAATTATTGGTGGACTAGCAGGATTGGCATTAAAGAGCATTGTTCCAACTATAGCCGGTGGAGTTGGTAAAAAAATATTTTAAATAATAAATTAATAAGGAATAATTTCTTTGTGATGAAACAAAAAATGTGCAAAAGGAAAAGAAAAAGGAAAAATTATTGTATAAGAGGATCAATAAAAAAATAAAACAGAAGGGAAGTGGATATTTAAAGACAATGATGAATGAAAATAGAAAAATAGAAAATTTGTATTTAATTAAATATTTACTTTAAATTTGAAAAAATAATTCATATCTATCAATTCCATTTTTTTAAAATAAATAAAATATCATCACAAGTTGACGTATGAAAATTAGGATCTCTATCAAATATTATCCCAATTGTTCAAATGTTAAATAACTACGTGTTGTTAATGTAAAATTAGGTTTTCTAATTGTTTACATTTTATAACAAGTAAAGTTATAAAATCATCAAACAATATATTACAATATTTACAAGATAATATATGTCGTGCATAATCCGTATAAATTTCGTTTTCTATTAAAAATTATAAATTACATCTTTATTTACATTTTCAATTTAATTTTTCAATTGTTTAAAAATTTTTACAAGATATATAAATTTTACATCACTAACATATAAAAAAAATATCTATATAACGTATTACACTCTAAACCTAAATGAAAACTATCTTTTTACAACCTGAGAATCATACAAATTAATGTTGAAATAATCATATAAATTTCTATCTGTTTGTTTATCTACATTGAAATAATGATATCTGCAACAAAAATTTTCATTAAATAATAATATTTTTTTATGTTGCATATAAACTTGGGTAGCCAATAAGTCGAAATCAAATAAAGACGTTTGGTATTTTCATTCTCCCAACAACATATTATCCCTACTGTACCATATAGAAATTCAATAAAATCTACATTTTTGTAGATGGTTTTAAATTTTCATCATTTGAAAAGATTTAAAATAAAGCGAATATTTTAAATCTTCTACAGTTGGTTTAATTTTAAGCACTTTCATTAGTGACAGGGTTCTTTTCAATTTTAATAAACAACTGCATACAAAATACAACGGATATAACAATGGATGACTAGGATATTCGTTCAATAATATGGTGAATACTTGGATAGACAAAAATCCATATCGTTAAACTATAAAAGAAAACCATTTAAAATGAAACAATTGATTTTTAATAGCATATTCGTTTATATACATTGTATAGTTAGAGTTAATATTCTGGGTTTATATTGATTATAATAAAATTACAAGTATGTCCACCAAAATGTCCTACACGGCAAAATATATATCCATTATGATCTATAACAGCACATGACTTTTGATATAATGTTTTTCCATTATTCAATCTCCAAAAAATTACTAATAAAAAAAGTTTGTAAATGATGATCGTCCAGGTTAATAAAGTCCTGAGAAGGACTGTTTTTGATGTTGTTGACTGACGTTTCGACAACCTTAGCGGTAGTCATCTTCAGAGTCAAATGAGGAGTAAACGTCAGGTTAGCCGTATTTGTTGTCTGGTTCTTACGTCATTGTATTGTGTTACAGGAAATGTGCAGAATGTGTATTGTCATTGTGGATTAGTGTGAAGTGAAATATTTTATTTTTAGTTGTGATGTGTGATTTAGGTGTGACGTTTTTAGTTGTAGTGTGTGGGTGTCAATTGTGTATTGTCATTGTGAATTAGTTTGAAGTGTAATGTTTTTAGTTGATCGTTTGTTTGTATTATTGAATAAGTCGTTTGTAAGGTGCCGGTAATGCTGTGATCTGTTCAGGGGTTTGTTCCAAGTTGGTATACCAACTTTCTAATGTAAGCCGTTGTCTATAGTCAGTACTGTAAGTGATGCATTTTGCCGAGTCCCAGTCAATGTTGTGCTTTGTGATTCGGTGATGTTCGGCAATGTGATTAGTTTTGTCTTGTTTCTTAGTAGCTCGTTTGTGCTCAGTAAGTCTTATGTTTAAGTTCCTGCCAGTTTCCCGATATAGGAGGCGTGGCAGTCGGGCATTTATTTTGTAAACTGCACCTTGTCGTTCGTTGGGTTGTTCTTTCTCCTTTACGTTCGTTAGTACTTGTCGTAATGTTGTGATTGGTTTATGTGCGACACGTATGTTGTATGGTCGTAAGATACGCGAGATAGTCTCAGACGTACCTTTGATGTAAGGTATCGTTGCTGTTGTCACTGAGTTGTTCGTTTCGCTGGGTTCGTTGGGTTTGTAAGTGTTGCGTTTGATAAAGTCAGAGTTATAGTTGTTTTTGTCAAAAACACGTTTGAGATAGTTGTTTTCGTTTTGTAGAGGGTCCGGTGAATCACATATCATTTGTGCACGTCTTGTTAATGTTCTGATTGTGGTGGCTTTGTGTGATGTAGGGTTGTAAGATGATTGGTCTAGTAGTCGGTCAGTATGTGTTAACTTGCGATAAACTGTTGTTCCTAGTTTTTGATTGTCATGTTTTACCAAACAGTCGAGAAAAGGAAGAGTTCCGTTTTCTTCGACATCTTTGGTAAATTGTATGTGACTGTTCTGTTTGTTGATGTGAGTATGGAAGTCAACAATCTCGTCTGCATGTAGTGCTGTGATTGTGTCATCTACGTAGCGAAACCAAAAAGGTAGTGCATGTTTGTAAGTCATGAGCGCCCGTTCCTCTATAGATTGCATTACAATTTCAGCAACTACAACAGAAACGGGCGAGCCCATTGCTGTCCCATGTAATTGTTTGTAGTGTGTTCCTTTGTATTGGAAGTAAGTCGAGGTGAGGCAGAGCTCTAGTAACTCCATAATGTCTTCTGTCGGTAATGGCAGTACGTCCGTGGTGTTTGTAATGAGGGTTTTTGTACAAGTAAGTGCCAGATTAAGTGGAAAATCTATCATTATATCTGAACGTATTTACTATCGACTCAGATGTTCAGTACCACGACCACCCAGACTATACGGACTACCTAAACTTCACAAACCACAAATACCCATGCGACCAATTGTATCATTCTGTGGTTCGCCTACTTACGAACGTTCAAAGTACTTGACTAACATACTGCAACCACTAACAAACAAATCAAAACACAAGCTACAATCCACTGAAACTTTCATTAAAAAACTGTGCACTATACAAATACCAGACAACTATATACTAGTGTCTTTTGATGTGAAATCACTGTTCACCAGTATTCCACTTAATCTGGCACTTACTTGTACAAAAACCCTCATTACAAACACCACGGACGTACTGCCATTACCGACAGAAGACATTATGGAGTTACTAGAGCTCTGCCTCACCTCGACTTACTTCCAATACAAAGGAACACACTACAAACAATTACATGGGACAGCAATGGGCTCGCCCGTTTCTGTTGTAGTTGCTGAAATTGTAATGCAATCTATAGAGGAACGGGCGCTCATGACTTACAAACATGCACTACCTTTTTGGTTTCGCTACGTAGATGACACAATCACAGCACTACATGCAGACGAGATTGTTGACTTCCATACTCACATCAACAAACAGAACAGTCACATACAATTTACCAAAGATGTCGAAGAAAACGGAACTCTTCCTTTTCTCGACTGTTTGGTAAAACATGACAATCAAAAACTAGGAACAACAGTTTATCGCAAGCCAACACATACTGACCGACTACTAGACCAATCATCTTACAACCCTACATCACACAAAGCCACCACAATCAGAACATTGACAAGACGTGCACAAATGATATGTGATTCACCGGACGCTCTACAAAACGAAAACAACTATCTCAAACGTGTTTTTGACAAAAACAACTATAACTCTGACTTTATCAAACGCAACACTTACAAACCCAACGAACCCAACGAAACGAACAACTAAGTGACAACAGCAACGATACCTTACATCAAAGGTACGTCTGAGACTATCTCGCGTATCTTACGACCATACAACATACGTGTCGCACATAAACCAATCACAACATTACGACAAGTACTAACGAACATAAAGGACAAAGAACAACCCAACGAACGACAAGGTGCAGTTTACAAAATAAACTGCTCCGACTGCCACGCCCTATATCGGGAAACTGGCAGGAACTTAAACATAAGACTTACTGAGCACAAACGAGCTACTAAGAAACAAGACAAAACTAATCACATTGCCGAACATCACCGAATCACAAAGCACAACATTGACTGGGACTCGGCAAAATGCATCACTTACAGTACTGACTATAGACAACGGCTTACATTAGAAAGTTGGTATACCAACTTGGAACAAACCCCTGAACAGATCACAGCAATTACCGGCACCTTACAAACGACTTATTCACAATACAAACAAACGATCAACTAAAAACATTACACTTCAAACTAATTCACAATGACAATACACAATTGACACCCACACACTACAACTAAAACGTCACACCTAAATCACACATCACAACTAAAAATAAAATATTTCACTTCACACTAATCCACAATGACAATACACATTTCCTGCACATTTCCTGTACACACAATACAATGACGTAAGAACCAGACAACAAATACGGCTAACCTGACGTTTACTCCTCATTTGACTCTGAAGATGACTACCGCTAAGGTTGTCGAAACGTCAGTCAACAACATCAAAAACAGTCCTTCTCAGGACTTTATTAACCTGGACGATCATCATTTACAAACATATAACGATACTCCCGGGTTCAAACCATTTACTTTAATAAAAAAAGTAACATTAATTTAGTTTAACACACTTCATAGCTTTTTTGTCAGATATAATTTTTCTTTTCTGATCTTTCTTTTTATTAAATTCAATTTTATCATTGTCATATTCTTCTTCTTCAGTATCATTATTTCCGTCTTTTTTTAAATCCACATAAATTTTATTCAACAACCCATTTGGGTTTAATAAAATACAATCCATATTTCCTTTTTTCAAAATTTTTAATAGAAAATTGTCTTTAATTTGAAAATGATCCTTTCTTTGTATCTTTCCACGAATAAAATGAAAGAAATCAGCTTCAATATAGTCCAGTATTAATTTTGCTAAGGTTAACTTGAACCTTACACAATAATAACACTTTTGACAGTTCTGAAATTTGCTTTCGCAGAGTTCTTTAAATAACCTCATAACTCTTTTTTTTCGAAATAACCCATAATTTTCCCTAGCAAAAAAATTAACATAAAAATCTCGTGTTCTTTTTTAAAAGCCTGATTCTTTGGATTATGCGCATAAAAATATTTAAAACTTTATGAAGATCTTCAATATCATAAAAGTTCTTTTCATATCGAGTAACTTTTATAATAAAATGATTTTTCATCCATATTAAAAATTCTAAGGGTAGGTGATATACGTCTTTACAATAACATTTTATAATAAAAACCCAGTGTGATATTTCATCAGTATGACGCAAATACTCTTTCAAATGATCCATTAATTGTTTTCTATACCGTGTGATCATCTATAATTTTTTCCATAAATAATATCATACTTCGTAAGTAAAAGCAAATAATATTAAATTCTTACCTTTATTTCAAGCAACGTGTAGTCCTTCGAATAATCCGACTTTTAGCGTAGCTAGAAAAGCACTTATCAAATTGCAAAATTGCAAATGATAATATGGAAAGTTCAAAACCCAATTTACTGATAATACAAATTGTCTCGCTTCAATACATCATCCACAATAAAGAATCGAAAATAGCATTCAAACATTTCACCATATTCATCGTCCCAAAACCAATTAAGCCAATCTTTCATTTGTAAACAAAGACATGGATAAAATCTTGACTTAGTTGATACATTACACATTCTAAATTTCACCAAAGCCAAATTTACTCACAGTATATTTTCACTTTAATATTTCCCTTTCCAATAAACAGATTTTTTAACGTAACTAGAAAAAAAATGCGTTATTAAAACTAGCTCATAAATAAACGCATTTGGAAGACTCTCAAGTAAAACAGACTTTAACATAACTAGAGAAACGTTAATGCAATTGTCATATTAAAAATTTTGTCATAAATAAAAGGAAATAACATTAAATTCTTACCAGTACAAGTTTCTCCTCAACAAATAGCGAGAGAATAACGATTTCCAACAAAGAATCCAACCGCATTCCAACAAGATAACTTCTACAGAGCTTGAGAAACTTCGATGCAGTTGTGATATTTACGTGTTCTTAAATACTCTCGTTACAACAAAATACCCTTTGTTTCCGTTTCACCTTGAACGTTCGTATCTACATCTCAATACACTATGTCTTTGTTTGCTAGTTGCCCTTGAACATTCGAGAACACAAACAAACCCATTTACTGTCATCATATCAATTAAATATCAATTAAACACCTGTGACTGGTACAATCTGGTACTGACTTCAACAGAATCGAAAATGAACGTTATGTAATAAAGAAAGATACAAAAATTGTTTTCATATCTTTAATGTATTTAATAATCAAAGCGAATTGTACCATGACAAAAATCGCAAGATTTAATACATAAAATCACACCTAAATTCAAAACAGAATTGCACAAACTCTAGAGAATACTATTAATATCTCAAACAAAATTCATTTGCTGTCATCACATCTATTAAGCAATTATCTTTAATACCTGTGACTGGTACAATCTAGTACATATTTTCAACAAAATCGAAAATATGCATTTTGCATTAAACAAAGATGCAAAAAATTATTTTCACCGCTTTAATGTTTTTAATAAAACAAAACGATGTAACTTATAATAAAAAACGCATGTTTAATACATAGAATCACACCAAAATTCAAAACAGAACACAAATAATATTTCAAACAAAGACCGTTTGCTGTCATCATATTTATTAAAAAATTATCTTCCAATGCTGTCATCACATTAATTAAACTATTATCTTCAACAAAATCGAAATATAAGATTTGTACTAAAATTTAGTAAAATTCTAACATTTTCTGTACAACTTTATCACATTTATCAGATTTTCGCGTTCTTTTTGTAATTTTTTGATTGTTTTGATTTCATCTTTACACACCCGAAAATATCGATGTACTTTAACTTGATCGTAATTTTGTTCTTTTAATTCAGAGTGCATCATCTCTAATATGTCTTTTATAAATCCCTTGAGGGTGTCGATGCGAAGTTCACATTTATATATCTCATCATCTATTACATTGTACCAATCCCCATCTGGTGTCAATCCCATTATGATACACGAGTTACAAAACACACTTTAACCTTCAACTACCAACAATCGATACAATTTGTGTTGTGACAAAAAAACGCAATTTTTAATATATAAAGAAACAATTTTTTTCCAAATAAATTCAAAACAGAATTATGTAAATTTTAGACAATACTAATAATAACTGAAACAAAATCCATTTGCTGTCATCACATCTATTAAGCAATTATCTTATGGGTAATGATGGATTCTGATACTGCTAGCTTCAACAAAATCAAAAATATAAGTTTTATTAGAAAATCTAAATGCAAATTTTTTTTTCAACACATTAATGCAGTGAATACTCGATGCGGTTTATGTTATGACAAAAATCGCAAGTTTTAACATATGTGAAACAAGTAAACGCAACAACAATATGTTTCACTGGGTCAAAAGGTTATATTTGCGCAAAAATTTGATCTATAAAATTCAAGTATTTATTTCGTTTACTTCACTTGCAAGCATACACTTATCGCGAAGACAGTGAGAAAAAACGGTGAAAGCAAACAAAGAAAAGATGGGAAAATGCCAAAAAGAAAGAGTATTACGATACAAAAGACGGGAAGAAAAAATAAACAACGGGATAGAAAATATATGAAAATATACAGCCATATTTGGAAAGAAGTTTGCGATGAGATGATCGAGTTTATTGAAAAAGAATCAATTAAATTTGAAGAAGAACTCAAATTTAGACAAAGACAATTAGAACACGATTTAAAATTAAATGAACTAAATAAAAAACAAAAAGAAGAAGAAGAAAGAAGAAAAAAGGAAAAAGTGATAAGAAAATCTAAAGATTATTTAGAATTTATTTTTTTAGATGTTGACATATCCGAAAATAAAAAACAACTGCATGTTAATCGTTTGAACAAAATTTTTAATGAGTTATATTAAATTTTATATGGACTATATTTCACTTTGAAGTTCTTCATCCAACTTAACTTGTGCTAATATTAACTTTACTTGGGTATTTTCTTTTATTTTTTCATAATCAGTTAATGAATTGTTTAAACAATCGCATTCATCTTGTAAATCTCGAACATCTTTTAAATATTCAAAATGGGTTGTTTCATTCTGCTCTTTCTTTTCTTTCAATTCATTATTTAAAGCTTGAATTTCTTTTGAAAATTCGTTAATTTTTGCTTCATTTTGCGTTAGCTTCTCTTTCGTTTCTTCTAATTCACTCTGCAAGTCAAGTATTTGTTTTCTAAATTCGGAAAGTTTTTTATATTTTTCGCTACGTTCGATGTTTACATCATCATCATCATCAGCTATATAATAAAATTTTCTTTTGAGCCAATGCGTTGTGTTTGGACTTTCCTCTTCAGATGTATTTTGGGTTGAAATGTGTGATGTATTTGCGTTTGATCCATGTGATTCCATTTTATAAAACAAACTTAACAAATATATGACACGTTAGTTCTTCAATGCATACAATTTCAAACAACAGATCTTTTATATACGCGCAATAAATGATTTTTTTGCAGAAAAACAAATTTCTTACAAATGCAAATATGAGGCGTTCAAGGTTATCATACATATAATGACCATATATAGTAATAAAAACATGTAGTAATTCTTCATTGACGTCAAAAAATGCAAAGCATCTCAATTAGTAACTTCTAGACACTCAGTAATGTCAATCAACTTGTAAAGTCAAGGTTATATTCTAAATTTAAACAAAAAATGGTATCAGATTGTACCAAGTACAACCAAGGCTATGTAGCAAGTTCATCCAAGGGTAATCATACCATAAATAGATTAAATGAAAGGAAATACAATTTTTTATATCAAATTCCAGTAGTATATAAGAGCTTGCTCGTTAAAATTTCTTTATTATAAAGAAAAATGGAATCAAACGTGTCATATGAAGATTTTTACTTTATTTGAAAGATAAAAGAAACAAAAATCGTTTCGATTTGTTTATAAAAAGAAATAAAGAAAAAATTTAAAAGCAAAAGAAAATCAATTTCAAGAAGAAAATCAATTTCAAGAGAATAATGAATATCTCTCTCAAACACCCATACCGAATTGGATAAATACTGAGAAAAATAACGAGACAAATTCTGAGACAAGTTGCATCGAAAATCAAAATCGTATATCATCATCACCAGATTCTCCACAACCCATGGATGAAGATACAGCAGAAAAGAGTGATGGTAAAAGTCCTTTGAATACTTATAACGATAATATTCAAAAATCATCTCCTTTACCCATAATTAATAATGTATATTCAACAAAAGATTCTCCTACTAAAAAAAATACAACTCTTATGAATATCATGTCTCCAATCACAAGTACAAGTATGATGTCACCAAACACGGAGTCTTTCTTAAATTACAATGTTCCCACACAGCGCACTTTTTTAAGGGAACTTGGACACATTGAATTTAATCAAGATCAAGGATTTACAACTCCTCGCAATAATAATACTGTGATACAAAATCAAGGAAATACATCTCCTCCTCCTGAACAAATGAATCAAGATCAAGTATTTGCTCATCCCAATCTAGTATTTACAAGTCCTCCTCATAATCTTAATGAATGGGTAGGAAAAAAAAGACAATTAATGGATGCTACTGAAAGTATAAAAAAAAAGAGAGGACGTCCGACCAAAAAAAAAACTTGAAGAATACAACAACGAAATAGGAAAAAATTCTGAATACTCTTGTAATATGTTATCTTTCAACAATGGTCAAAATTATGTTAATAGACAATTTTATTCACTTATAAAAGGAAATATTATATGTAAAAATGAGGAAGAAGCCAATTTTTTAATTGATCTGTTTGAGAGAAGAAAAAAATTACTTGATCAATTAAAAGAACTCAATCAAGAAATTAATTTAAACAACACAATGGAGTATTTTTTTAGAAAAATGTCTTAAAATTCTTTTATATACATCAAATTGTAAATACTTCATCTAATACTTTATATAATACTTCATATAATAAAAAAATTCATGTTTTTTGTATTTTATTGAGGGTAGTATCAGGTTGTACCAGACACAGTTCTTAAAGATGCTCGCTTAATTGATGGGATGGTTGTTGGTGTTAATAAATCAGTTCTACATATCGGACAGTTAGAAAATCCTTGTAATAATAATTGTGTCAAACAATCAAAATGTATTTTGTGACCGCATTTTAACATTCCGATTCCAGTTAATGTATCTTCCAAACATATCATACATTGAACATGTTCGTTCTTGCATATATGATATTGATTTTTCCTTTTCCTTTTCGAAACACGATCCACAAGCATCACAATGAAATGATCTATGTAATTTAACTCTACAAACACCACATTTTACACAATGATAAGGATCTTTCGAATAATCATCGTAAACCTTACATTTGTCACAAAAATAATCAGCCAACTTTTTCTTACACTTGAAACAATATTGATGAATTCTTGCTCAAACCCACAATAATTACACATTATCCAGGAAATATCTTTTGGATTGACTTTTTATTGCAAAATGATCTTTATTATGACAATGATGACATGGATAAAATCTTTCACAACATTTAAAATAAAAGAACAATTTTTTAGAGTGTATACAATTTGTAAACATACATTGATACTTCTGTATCCGAGACATTTTTTCATCAATCTGTTTTTACATGGAGGGGTAAATTATATATATACACACATCTTCACCTATTCAGCTACATAGGAAAATATTTTTTCAACATTACTGTTCATAAGTACTTTCATTTGTTGAAAATGTTGATGATTATCATCATTTTCATCCAAATATTTCTTTAATACTTTAATAAATGCTTCAATAAGTGATTTTTGTTCCAAGATATATTTCTTTTCAGTTGCATCAAAATTCATTATTAAATTATCTTCTTGAGATTCATCAATAACATCAAAAACCCTGCACTGCTTTTTCCAACTCAAAATAACATCTGAAGATAGAAACACTTTATTCGAAATATCAACATCAGCATCATCATCAGGAGTTAAGAAAAATACTATAGTTCTGCTTCGCCAATCCGCCATTATCACCAGCAAGAAATG